TTGATTGTTCTGAATGACTTTGCTTACAATTTATTCTTTTAGAATGTGAAGAAGGAACTTTCGGTGAGAATTGTGAAGAGTTATGTGGGATGTGTTCGAATGGTGAAGTCTGTAATCCTGTGAATGGATCTTGTCCCGAAGGCTGTTCAGCAGGATGGAAGGGCAAAGACTGTCGGGAAGGTATTTCTTAAGATAAATCTTTTTAAACTCAGTTAAATAAATAAAAAAAAAGTCATTTTGATTTTGAAAAAGAAAATCAAATATGTCTTTCATATGGAGAAATGGTGTGCAATTTATTCAAGATCTCGAGATCTCATGAGATTGCTACCACGTAATTTATTTCTCATTAGTATTCATTAGATACTGTATAAACTTGAAATATTCTATTCCATTATAATTTTATGTATAAACCTGCAAGCCTGTATCGTTTTGTATTTTGTTCAAGTCTCCGTCTTAGATACAAAGCTAGAATTTTGTGTAATTAACAGTTGACGACTTAGAATATCGTTTTTTCCTATATTATTAAGGTCATCATAATGTAAAAAAATGCCTTTTTCAAATTAAAAAGGCGGTCGTACCTCCTGATGGAATGGTAAACCGTGTGTATTTTATAAAAATAGGCTCACTTCTGTACCTTTAATCGGCGAAAGAACGCAGTCAACTTGCAATAAACACATTTCTTCACCAAAAATTATAAAAACACCAAAATGTACTCTTTCCTTCATTAAAACAATACACTCTCGCTTCGAATTTTCAAATCAAAAAGGTGGTCACAACTTTCATTTTGATATTTACAATCTTGTTATTTCCGGTAAAAAATACCAAGAAGAATCAAACCATCGGCGGAAAAACTTTATCCAAAATAGGAAGAATATAAAAAAAGTGCAATTTTTTTTTCTGTATATAAACCTTAATGGAATCGGGCGCCATTATAGTTCAAAAATGGCTGATATGCAAATGAGCAGAATGAACACTATTTCTCCATATCATTTAATCCAATTACTGCATAGGTAAAGTAGATGTATTTTAAGCAACAACAGAGAGGCGCTGTATTTTTTGCGTTCAATTATCTTTTTTATAAATATTTTATTTTATTTTTACTTTTAATTAATAGCTTGTGAGTCTGGATCATATGGCGTTATGTGTAAGGACAAATGTAGTCCGCATTGCCTCGATCCTACAAATTGTGACAGTAAATCGGGGGAATGTTACCTAGGTTGTTTGGATGGATGGGTCGGTGATCGCTGTGAACAGAGTAAGTTTGAGTTGATTTTTTTTCAGAGGGAAAATAAAGAACTAGAATGCATGATCTCACTGATCCATTGAAGTCCCCCTTTCATGATTTCTATGTAAATGAACCCATGGAAAACATTACCTCGTACATGTACAACGTTCTCCATTCACTTCTTTATATTTACATTTTGCAAATGTTTTCCATTATATAAAACTACTGAAAGCAAGCGCATTTATAACTGTATAAATACAGGTATGGGGTCAAGAGGTCATAAATGTGCGTATAGATAAACGTTCGACGTAATTTCTCAATGACGTCATGAAGGGTAGACGCGCGTTCAGTGGATTACATACATGCCAATTGGTTTGAAAAATAATGCATTTCACACGTTAAAAGTCACAATCAGGCAAATTTAAAGTATGAGTAAGTCACAAATGTAAATATAAGTAATAAGGTATCATTTTTTGAGTTTTATTGGGATGTAAAACGGGTTGGCACATGGTCAAATCTTCCTTTGATCACATGATCAAATCTTCCATTTGATCACGTGACCAATCCGTTTTATCCCAATTAATCGGATATAAGTAAAAAAAATATACTTATTTCTTAAGTATATACTAAGTAAAATGTAATAAAAGGCAACTTTTCTATCATTTATCAAAATCAGAGTGCAGATTGAAAATAGGTTTCCTCTTTTATATTATTCCTTGGTAAACAGTACATGTTATAGATAAATGCAAAATTCAATCAAATAAGGTGAATTCCACATTGGGTGAACAGATTTGATAAACAAACGCTGACAATTTCCTCATATTTATTTTTAAAGCTTGTGAAGGAGGTTGGTACGGAGCACAATGCAAACGCAAATGTGGTCACTGCTATAATGAAGAACTGTGCGACAAAATACATGGTGCGTGTGCAAGCGGATGTGCATCAGGCTGGATAGGACAGAATTGTAACAATTGTAAGATATGTTTTGATTGTTTTTGTGAAGTTGAACAAACGGACAGGTGTTATGAAATGATAAGTATTTAATTTCATCTCATTTTTTCTTATTTCAATTTTTTTGCGGTCTTTTTTCAAGCTTGTGCAAAAGGATCATACGGTATTATGTGTAAAGACACGTGTAGTGCGCATTGCGTCGACTCCGCGGATTGTGATCATGTGACAGGGTCATGTGTGGGAGGATGCCTTGCTGGTTGGATGGGAGCAAGATGCAATCAGAGTATGAATTTATCATTAAAAAATAGTTGTTTGATACCGGGTTTGTAAGCAAGGCAGTTTTTACTTTAAAACGTAATGAAATGATTAAAGAATACAACCATACTATGTGTGGGTTTATCAGCAGTGGAAACTTGTATCTTCAAATAAGATGGAATTTGAAAAAAGTTTACCCACGTACTGAATTTATTTATTTAGATCTGGCCTGGGGACCACAAAACTTAGACGAGCTCACTTTTGATCTCAGTCTAACTTTTACCAAAAGAACATACAGTGGAAAAATGAGACTAAGATCAAACGTGAGCTCGTCTAACTTTTATGGTTCCCAGGTCTGAAAACAATTGTATAAAAAGAGTTTTCTCATGTACTTTATAAGATGTAACGTAAAAAGCATGTTTCAGAATGCACTGAAAAGTCTTTCGGCGAGGAGTGTGGTAAGGTATGCGGCCATTGTTTTGACAACGCCCCCTGTAATCACATCACAGGAGCATGCCAAGCGGACTGTAAAGATGGATGGCTGGGTCAGTTTTGTAATGAATGTAAGTGCAATGTGCTCACTCACTGGCTAATGTGAAGTTTTTCTACCTTCTTGTACTATATTAATAGTGAACCCTTTGGAATAGGATCTGTAAAAATAAATTTCGCTAAACATTTGTTTGCTACTGAGCAGTTTTAACTAGCAATATTTTACATCATTCGTATTAACATAGCATGCCCTGAGGGAAAATTCGGAGAAAAGTGTCAACAAAAGTGTGGTCATTGCGTCAGTGGAAACATTTGTGATTTTGCCAGCGGAAGTTGCTCAGATGGATGCGCAGATGGTTGGGTAGGAAGTAGGTGCAACATAGGTACAGGGCAATTTGTGAACTTTGATATTGATTTATACGTAAAGTGACACTATTAAATGATCATTATTTCTATTTATCATTTTTATTCATTATACGGATAGAGTTATTGTAACATATAATACCAAAAGATTGCTAAATGAATTTGTTTTTATTCTTTTTATTTGGTGTTCACCTGTTAACATTTTCAAATCCAGAAAGAAATAATGATATCAATATTTCAGTTACCTCAAAACGAAGAAGCAAGTCAATCAATTTTATATTGTCTCTCGGTATTATATAAATTTCAGTGTGTAGTTTTGGTTACTACGGTGAAAATTGTTTGCAACAATGCAACGTCAACTGTAAAAATACGAAAGATTGCAACCATATCAATGGATTCTGCTCAAATGGCTGTGCCGACGGTTGGTTAGGAGAGTTTTGTGACCAGAGTGAGTAGATTTAATTCAACCATCTTCTTGATAACAGATAATGTATATTAATGTATATGTCAATTCATAGTTTGGCAAGTATGTCAGAATGTCCTATTATGTACAAAGTTTATATTTCAATGTTTTGTTTTGTTTCTTTTTTTTCTTTGGGGGGGGGGGGTAATTTGTGTGCATACTAATTGCTTTTGAAGTTTTGAGTTGGTTGCTGTTCATATCTAGGGATGGTAGATGTCATAAAGTGCCTCTTTTTATTCTTTTATATATACACACACAATGTTTCAAAGGAATTGCGTCAAGATCCAAGTATTTGAAATTGCGATTTAGTGTAATTTTATTTCATTTTATGTACATTTCAGAGTGCCCAGACGGGTTTTTTGGTCCAGATTGTTCCTTTAATTGTGGGCACTGTCTAGAGGAAGATATTTGTTCTCATGTAAACGGGTCATGTTTCTCAGGGTGTGCAAGGGGCTGGCATGGAAGATACTGCAACGAGAGTAAGGACTTAGAATAAATTTCCTGTTTTCATTTACCTGTTACAAATTTGCTGACTTGTAAAGAGGATAAAGTGAAATAAAGGGTGGAGGAGAAAACTATCTTCATATACAATATGAAAATGGCTAAAATAGGCTTTACCTACTGCCCAATTTTATTCACTTTCATTTCTGAACAAAAGTTTATGATAATAAAAATATCAAATTAAAAAAAATAAACAAAATAAAGAAATTTTGAACATTTTTAAATGTATTGCAATTTCGTTTATTTCAAAAGGTTGCGAAAGTGGTTACTTTGGAGACATGTGTACACAGAAATGCAGTGACTATTGCATAGAGTCTGGTCAATGTGATAAAATCACCGGGTTTTGTACCAATGGGTGTATGGCTGGGTGGACTGGGAACTTCTGTGAATTAGGTGATCTTTTTTTTCATTTTATGGGGTGACTAAAATAATGAAAGGACACCTCATATATTCAGTATTTTTGAGATGGTAACTAAAATTAGGTCATGCATTCATAAGTAAATGGCGATTCAATGCAGGATATAAGAAATTATTATGAGAATCAGCAAAAGCCAGAAATTAATTTTAATCTCATACAAAGTGATATGCCTGATTAAAAAAGCAAATATGACAAAGGATTTTATTTCAGATTGTCAGAGAATAGTGAACACATTAATAATTTATTTTAGAATGCCCCACTGGAACGTTTGGTGAGCATTGTATGGGAAACTGTAGTGAGCACTGTCTTAATATTACCGACTGCAATCATGTGAACGGGTCATGTGACGGCGGATGCTTATCAGGTTGGATCGGAAACCATTGTCAGATAGGTACAAATATGCCTTTTATCATTAAATACCTTCATCACAATCAAAGGGGTTTATTTATCTCAGTTATCTCAATTATCTTATTTACGTTATCTACGAAAGAGTTTGATCTACCCATGAACAGTTTTAAAAACGAGACAAATTAATGACGAAGAAGTTGATGTATCAAGAATATCAGCAGTCGATCTCGTTTAAAGTCATCATTTCATAAGTTCTATGGTCGATACAATGACCTTGTCAGCAAATAAATTTTACAATGAGTCAAATGCTGACCGACGTTTTCCATACTAATTGTTAGTCCATTAATTATACACTGAATTGACGACGTATATAATGTTATTTCCCGATCATGACAAGGAGCACATAGCGGATGTGACCGGTCGGCAGGGGATGCTCACTCTTCCGTCGCAACTAATCCCACCTCTGATGTTTCGGAGATCTGTGTTTACTCTGCTCCTACTTTGTATTGTTTATGGACTTATGATCCTAAAATACCGTTCGTTATCTCCATATGATTCATTGGCAAGTTCCATTGTGTGCAATTTATTTTTATGTGTTATGCATTTTTTTATTATTGCTTTGTTTTGGAAAATGACAAGTTACTTGTTTAATGCATTTTGAGAATTAGAAATTAAAATACGTATATTTCAATTATATTAAAAGACACTAGAATATGTGTGTACAACAACATAGTGATTTGCCAAATATAACTGTTGTTTTACGCCGATTATGAAAAAAGTATCACAGGTGAGGCATCATATATTCACGTACCGGGTAATACTTGACCTTTAGACCTACATTTATTTTGGCAATTTAACCATTGCTCTAACTTTAAATGAGACTTAATTTCAGCAATATGGATGATAGGGCAAAACTGTTCTTTAATATACACAAACAATTTCACTTGATATCATTATTTCTCATCAGGTTTTATATTTATATTTCAGAAGTCAATGAGATAAATGGAATACCTGCTGAAACGCTACTTGGAATCGTGTTTGGAGTGACTGCTTTATTCATTATCATTGACATCATTATTGTTGTTGTAGTTTTGAGGTTTTTTTTTCGGTTTTACAGATCTACAATATTTAATTTAATTTTTTTATTGGAATGATATAAAAACCTCTTATATCTGCTTATGGAATTTATTCAAATAGTATTGAAAATTATCATGGAAAATCAATTTTGCTGTTCTCATGATAAAAGTTAAAGAAGGATTACAAATTTTAAATGAAATTTGAATCCTAGGTTCACGGGAAGGTCAAAGGTCAGAGGCTCCTCATTCCCCCGCCGCCTTAGTATTCTAAGTGTGAATTACTACGCCGATGTTAACAGTGGGAATCATGCAGCTGATAGACAAAATAGAGGTATACACCTATAAGTAAAATTACATCAATTTTTAAGCAACATTCAAAGAATTAAGTATCTTGCTGTATAGACATTTCTTTTCATAGCAATGTCAAAGAGTATGTATATACCATATTGAAGATATCACTTGCAGATGCCAAAATACGTTAACTGTTTAGAGAATAAAAAAAAATCATAAGGAGTGTTTTGAAAATAATTTAGATGCCGGTCATGTAGATCAAGATGTCGTATTAACTACTTGTGGTCGGTCGTTCAACCAAGAAAACACAGGGTAAGAAACTTTGATTTTTTTCGCCATTAGATCGTCGGCAAGGGATGATCCTCCCTCCATGACACCTGATCTCAACTCTGGTGATTTAAAGGTCCGTTTTTTGCTCTGTTCCTATTTTGTATTGTTTTATTGACATTTTATCTTAAATACTGTTTGTTATTTCTATACATTTCATTGTGATTTTATTTCCAATTACCTCTGTTTTTCTTGTCAAACATGTCAGCAAACAACATGCAAATATTTTTTTAAGTAATGGGAGAGATAACATATGAAAGATAGGACATTTTTGCCATATTTTCTCAGGGCATTCACAAACATCGTTAATAATTCATTTTTTATTCAATATACACTAATCACTATTCATACTATCTATATAAAAAAAATCAAGGGATTTTATTTATCAATTGAAATGATTTTCATTTCAGTAGACAAAGTTATAAATTATATGAAGATAATTTTATTGGAAATATTTCATAATTTTCACTTTTATGATTTCAGTTCACACCACGAACAGATGAATTATGTTTCCAAAGAAAACCGTTATATCAGTTCTTGGGAATAGCTTTAAGGATTAATTTGAAATAAATTTTGTATTGTGAGATATATAAATAATATTTTAACTTTGTTTTGACTTTTAAGAAAATATACTTTTTGAATTAAAAAGAAAAGAAAATCAGTTATTAGTAGTGTTTTCTTGCAAAAGAAATAAAGTAAATGGCATTGTTAATACAGATATTATTATCTTTAAATTCCATGTCATAAATTGATATTTAATATTTATGAAATAGAAAGAAAACAAGAGAAAACAAAAGTTTTGCATAATTTATTACAATTATTACATGTGTATTTGTTTTAACGCTGTCATAACAGCAAAACCGCTCTTTTACCAATTCTAAATTACATATACATGCCTATTGTAATACATACTGTTCTTAATAAATGTTTATGACATATTAACAGGCAAAGAGGTGTTTAAATCATCTTCACATGGATTTTCTTATATTACAACAAAGAAAGAAGCTGTAAAACAGCAAAACCGTATTTTCTTTATCAAATGTATCTAAAAACAATTCATAGCCTAAATACCTTAATGCTTTATTCTTTGTGTGGTGTAATTTAGATATGATTGTGATATTCAAATAAGCTATTTAACGAGTGGCCGGGAGCAAAGGAATGTGATCTTTGCATAGATAGAACGCTTAAAATTGAAATCGGAGTCATTCAAGGATGTGGAATTCAGGAATGCAAGTATTTTAAAAATTATTCCGACTCAATTAAGTCTTAACGGAAACAATGCTAATATGCTTAGCTGTATTTGGACTCCACCTTGAAATGTTTACTGATATTATCGAATTTTCAGATTTACAATTTTCTGGGCCACAAACGTAGAATCTTATGAGGATTTTTGATGAATAAAATAATGTTGATTTATGAAAACCTTTAACAAATTACAATTGCATTTCGAAAAAAATGAGGCTTTTAACAAAATTTTTCATTTCTTTGATTTCGCTCCTTGGGAATAATTATGGATATGGTAAGTACATTTTATTTATATACACCAGAATTCTATGCACTGCAGATAAGTATTTTTTTTTATTTAGGAATAATCATCCATGTTAAATGTCTGTATATTTGCTAAAAAGGCGTCATTCCAATATGAGAAAATCTACATGGGTAAAAAATAACAATTTAAAAATAGAGAATGGTGTAATTTCATTTGAAATCTCGTCTTTAATTTCCGTATCAAGTAACTTTATATCAAATTACAACCGCTTTTCAGTGTCATTAAAAATCAAATCATTTTAAAACATGTTTTGCAAAAAATAATATATTCGAAAATGTTAATCTTCTAATTCAAAAAAGTATTACATGGCTAATCAGAAATACTTTATTTAAAAAAAAGAAGAATATTTTATTTAAAAGGTCATATCACAGATCTAGATGATAATCATTAAATTGTTTGCCTTTAAGAAGATTCTTAATAATTTCTTTATATAATTTAAGATAAGCGTGATGTGAAATCTTCAAAAATAATTATTGTCATACATGTGAACTCCCGAATTAGTATGCAGCTTGGCTTGTTTAATTCAAATATCTATGATAATTCTAGAGCAGAACTTAGCCTTGGAAAAGCATGCTATCATGAGTTCACGCGCACACTTTTGGAGTAAACCGGAACTAGCAAACGATGGTGACGTCAGCCAGGATGAAGTGAAGTGTACACAGACTTTGACGAATGCAACTCAAGCGTGGTGGCAGGTGGATCTTTCGGGAGCGAGCATTTTGTATATACACATCACTTATGCAAAAAACAGTGAGTGTTATAGCATAAAGCATTTCAATGTAATTTGGAAGAAACCTAATCTTTGTGTAAAAATAAAATGTATAGCATTCGAAAGAAAAACTGAAAATGAAGCTTTTTAAAGGAAAATTGAAAATCAATGCTTTTTTTTTAAAAATATGAATTTGATGAAAACTACTTGATAAGAAGTCCCTTAAGCAAATTCACAACGAGTTCCGGAAAAAAAAATATATGACTAAATGAAATGACAGTACCTTTCTTGATTCTTTGAGAAAAGGTACCTAAATACCTGTAATACGTTTAAAGAAAGTTTGGGTGATTGTTATTTTGTATATATATTTATTTTGCTTTACAGTAAATGCAGGTTAAAATGCTTATCGGCATATTCCTAACAAAATGATTTATTGTCCAATATAATCAGAAATTCAAATCTATAAGACGTTTATCACTACCACCTAATCAAAATTTTCAAAACATTGAAAAGAAATACATTTTAATGAAACCATGCACTTTGGGTCATTAAAAATGGATAGATGCATAGCCTCAGTAATGGCACATCATGAATTTTTCTCTTTAGGTGCTGACACAATGGCAGGGTTTTCTTTGTATATTTCTGATGACGACATTAATTTTCGTAACGGACATCTTTGTTACAACCACAACGACTCTACACTTCCGGAACTGTACATGGAGATAAACTGCAAAGTTCACGGAAGATTCCTCACGTTTTATAATGAGCGACTTCCGGATGTTAAATACCCGGATGGCTATTCTGCAACTGCGATTATTCAACTGTGTGAAATCACCGTTACAGGTAGGCTTAATACACATTCTTTATTTTCGGAAAAAAAGCTATGGACCCCCCCCCCCCCCCCGGCCGCCATGATTTGATCAAGGTATACTTTTTAATTTAACTCCATGACAATACCTTAATACGTTATTCAATTGTGTAAAAATCAACGTGTTACAGCTAGGCTTAATACAGATGCTTTATTTTCGGGGGAAAAAACCTATCGGTTTTATTCCCCCGCCATGATATGATTAAGGCATATTTCTAAATTTTGATCCGTGACATCAATACGTTTTGAAAATTTATTCCTTTTTAGCTCACCTGAGCCAAAGGCTAAATGAGCTTTTCTGAACACAATTTGTCCGTTGTCTGTCGTCGACGTCGTTATCGTCGTTGTTAACTTTTCAAATTTTCGACTTTGCCTCAAGAACCGCCAGGCCAATTTTAACCACACTTGCCACAAAGCATCCTTAGGTGAAGGGGGTTCAAGTTTGTTCAAATGAATGGCCACGCTCTCATTATAGGGGAGATAATTGGGAATTAATGAAAATTTGGTTGTATCTTTAAAAAGTCTTCTCAAGAACCACTGTGCCAGGAAAGATGAAACTTATGGGGAAACATCCTCAGGTAGTGTAGGTTCAAGTTTGTTCAAATCATGACCCCCGATGTTGGTGCGGGGCCACAATGGTCGACCAAAGTTTTACATGGTAATATTTAGGAGTATTCTTTAAAAATCTTCTTCTTAAGAATAGCAAAGCCATATTTGATCATATTTATATGGAAGCATCCTCAGGTAGTGTAGATTAGATTCAAGTTTGTTCATATCATGACCCCTTGGGGTTGGGCGGGGCCATGCAAAATGGTAAACCAAAGTTTAACATAGAAATACATAGGAAAATTCTATTAAAATCTTCTTCTCAAGAATAACAAACCATAGTTGATCATATTTACATGGAAGCATCCTCAGATAGTTTGGAATCAAGTTTGTTCAAATCATGACCCACGGGGGTAGGGCGGGACCAAAATTGAAAACAAAATTTTGCATGGAAATATATAGGAACATTCTTTAAAAATCTTCTTCTCAAGAATAACCAAGCCATAATTGATTATATTTAGTTTGAAGCATCCTCAGATAGTTAAGATTCAAGTTTGTTCAAATCATGACCCCCGGGGGTAGGTGGGGGGCACAATGGCTGACCATTTTTTACATAGAAATATATAGGAAAAATCTTTAAAAATCTTTTTCTCACGAATAACAAAGTCATAATTGATCATATTTATATGGAAGCATCCTCATCAGGTAGTGTAGATTTAAGTTTGTTTAAATCATGACCCCCAGTGTTAGGGCGGGGCCACAATGACAAACCAAATTTTAACATAGAAATATATAGGAAAATTCTTTTAAAATCTTCTTCTCAAGAATAACAAACCATAGTTGATCATATTTACATGGAAGCATCCTCAGATAGTTTGGAATCAAGTTTGTTCAAATCATGACCCACGGGGGTAGGGCGGGACAAAAATTGTAAACAAAGTTTTGCATAGAAATATATAGGAACATTTCTTTAGAAATCTTCTCAATAATAACAAAGCCATAATTGATTATATTTAGTTTGAAGCATCCTCAGATAGTTAAGATTCAAGTTTCTTCAAATCATGACCCCCCGAGGGTAGGTGGGGGGGGGGGGCACAATGGCTGACCAAAGTTTTACATAGAAATATATACGAAAATTCTTTAAAAATCTTCGCACGAATAACAAAGTCATAATTGATCATATTTATATGGAAGCATCCTCAGGTAGTGTAGATTTAAGTTTATTTAAATCATGACCCCCAGGGGTAGGGCGGGGCCACAATGGCTAATCAAAGTTTTACATAGACATATATAGGATAATTCTTTAAAAATAATCTTATTTAGAATAGCAAAGCCATGATTGATCATGGGACTACAGTTGGATATAAACTTTACAATAATAAACCAATTTCTACTTTTCCCAGCCGCAGTGCTCAGGTGAGCGATGTGGCCCATGGGCCTCTTGTTAAAATTTTTGTTTGATTTTTGCTTTTGCATTCTATCACATCTGTTACGTTCTGCTTGGTCTGCTGCCGATTTGCATGAAATGGAATTTGATCTAGGATGCTGCTCGTTATCGATAAATTTCTTTGAATATTATGAACATAGTATATGCATGTGTTTATATAGGAATAACTTTAAAATCAGCTAATGCCATTGCAATTCATATTGCCTTTTTAGAACTCTTTCCTTAACTTTTATGATCGACAATGACCTGAATTCAATGCAACTGTAGTATTCACAACAGTTAGAACTCAATAAATGTAATACATTATCTTGTCTTTATTTCCCTTTGCAAATGTACTGTTTCAAATATTTTAAATTTTAATATTATTAGTATATTATATTTCTTGTTATATTTTCTCAACAGAAGATCTCCATTTGGTCTTGTAACTTACCACTATCACTCGATCTTCGTATGTTTAGTTATGATTCGATAAATCAACCACTTGCTTACAAAAACATGTTGATATAATATTTCATATTTCCAGGTTGTGAAAGAGGGAGGGGAGGCTTTACGTGCACTCCTTGTTCTCAAAAATGTCGTGAAGGAATCTGTCATATAATGACGGCAAAATGTTTGGAGTGCTATGACGGTTACTATGGAATTGACTGTGATAAAGGTAATAGTTTTACAAAATCAACTTGCGAAGTCCAGTGTAGACAGTACTTTCAGTGCGGTTTTTAAAAAATCTTTTCCTAGATATATTATAGCTCAGCTAAAAGTACGTTCTTTCAAGGTTGTTGTTTCATCATTTTTGTGATAAATATATTTTTTTATGTATTTTGAGGAAAATACTGTGAATATCTAATTTGTTATTAAGCTAAGTCATCCTAGATCTATTTATGCATCAAAATTGCTATCAGGATAAAATAATTGTTTTGATTATAGATGATTGTGTATTACATTAATAAGCGGTTTAAAAATACCATTACTTAATTATCAGAATGCCTCCTGTAGTTACATGTATTAGAAAAAAGATGAATTTAAGTTAACACATTTTCTTTGTTTCTTGTAATACCAATTAAATAGAACATTGGTCATTGCATAAAAAATTCGCCACTCAGTTGGATGCTTCTTAAACTATAGCCTTTGAATGTTAAGTAAATGTTCTTTTCATAATTTCTTTTATTGCTTTCATTGCCTCAAATTTTGTTTGTGGACTTATTTTAATTTTGGGAAATGAGGTGACTTTTTACTTTTTAGTTTATTGTTTCCCTATTGTTTTTAAACCTTTTTCACAAATCTAAACAAAAAAGTCCATATTGATAATTTGTTTCTATTTTTCAGTATGTAGTAACTACACATATGGGTACAACTGTACTGAGCGATGTGGAAAGTGTTCAAATGACGTATTATGTGACCACGTGAACGGAACATGCGCAGAAGGATGTCTTCCCGGCTGGATAGAGCCATTTTGTAACTCCTGTAGGTAGCCTTACCATAAACATAAAGATAATACATTAAAAATGGCAATTACATGAGAATAAGAATGACTCTACCTTTCTATTTTTTTTTTAATTTTCTAATATTTTCAATCACAAATTTAAACCTAATAGAGGCTTAATGCATGAAGCTTTACGTCAAAGAATTATTTTTGTTTCGAAAAAAAAAATCTTTTAAAATATTACTTTTTTTAAATTAGCTATCAATTAAAATATAATCTGACAGCTTGTCCAACCGGCTTTTATGGATACAAGTGCGCGACATCATGCAGTGGTGGATGTAGAAAAGCTGGGCAATGTGACCCTGTTGATGGGAGATGTATTGCCGGGTGTATTGCTGGGTGGAAAGGGGACCGATGTACTGAGAGTAAGAAAACATTCTTTGTTCTACATGTATTATCTGCAATTCAAAGGTCTATTTAATATCAATGCAAGGATGAATGGATAAAAAGAACAGAATGAAGAGCACTTGCAAGAAATTATATGAAAGCCAACCATGAATATAATGTTCTTCAAAGTCAGGAGAAAATATATCTTCTGTAAATATTCTGTATTTCCTGATTCTTTTGTTTTCCAATTAAATGGTATGCATAGTGTATCGAAACATACAAGCGCTTATAAACTTCTACTTATCTAATTGACTTTAATACATACAAATCCTTCCGCATTTCAAGTTAACACACTCAATTCTTAAACAAGTATAATGTTTCCATTAAACATTTTTTTTAAGATTAAAGTTTAAAAGGTGGATTAAATGTTTTCGTATGATCAAAAGAAATGTCTTTTTTACTTTAATATGCACAAAAATGTATATTTTAAGGTACAGACCCATCCAGCCTTGTCGAGGAGGACACGAATACAGCTGCCATAGCTATCGGTGTAGTCGTCGGCGTCATTGTCATCATAATTGCTGTCATCGTCATCATTGTCTTCATCAGGTAACTTTACGAAGTACAGTTTCATGTTTGCTTTTAATCTGAAAGGTCATTATGTTGAATGTTGCGAAAGCAAAAAAAAAAATAAATAAATAAATAAAAATGATTTTTATTCTGAAAATTATATATCTACAAAAAATACAATTACACGTGAAAAAGATTTAGAAATGAATTTTTCAAAAGGGAAAACACGGTCAATTAATGTTGATATATTTCCATTTCTATTTTTTGTTCTCTGTGATAACTCTTTGAAAGTTGTCGGAATTTATTTCTTGATAAATCTACCGGAATGAAAATTAGGCAGGGCGATAGGTCAGGAGCTAAAGAGGCCTAATATGCATGCAAATCTCGTGTGCATCTGTCTCTGTGTCTGACGCTAAGGAGGCCAAATATGCATGTAAATCTTGTGCGGCTGCCTATGTGTTTGACCTCAGTGGGCGAGGACTATTGAAATTGACATTGAAGTCCTCGTGTAATTTAAGTCTATGTCTACATTCTTAAAGTCTAAATCTACAATTTTATTTCACAATGAAATGGAAATATAAGGAATCACTGTCTAGTTACATGTAGTATAGTAAGCCAGGGACATCAACGATAGTGGGAAACATGGGACAATTTATGCATAACGGGCTTCGCCCAATGTTTCCCACTATCATAGGTGCCCTGGCATAGCATACTAACTAGACAGTGATTCCTTAAATAAAACAATCATATTGAAAGACGGAAACAGGAGAACTTTAAAATAAATTTTACTTCTCTTTCGTAAATAAAGATAACAGATAACATTATGTTATCAAAGCGATCTTAGAAAACAAAGTTTGAAAAGGCAGAAAGATCAATTGATGTTGTTCCTGTTGTTGTGTCTTTTGTCAATCCTAGATTGTATACCTGTATATTAGATCTAAGTGGGTTTTACTTTTTTTCAGATTTATTCAACGGTCAGATTCACGCATCATTGCAAGAGAGAAGAAATAAGAACGACTTAATGCTTTTATAATAATTAACAAACAAAAAAATACAAAAGATTTTATGATCGAATGGTTCAAATCAATCACTCAGTAGATTTGATTCTATCTTTCTAGCGCGAAGAATCTTGAATTTCGAATTTGTATTTGCAAAACCTTCTTTGTTTTTGAAAGCTCTCAGAAAACTAAGAAAATTTTAAGAGATTAAATGATAGAAAGACCCAAATTAACATTCAGTAGATTTGATTCTGTCTTTCTAGCTTACAGAATTTGGAAATTCATTTTTTTGTATTGCTATATAAAGAGTTATACACATATATACCTTTTTAGGGGATGTAGAATAAAGATGTACATAATATCATTTTGAAATACACAATTTACAAAATGGTGGTAAAAGAATGAGACAGTCTGCCAGGAGAGGACAATTTTAAAAAAAGGCATTAATTTTAGTACTATACTGCATGTTTAAGTAATTATGTATAAAATAATCTAGAAATGTAGTGATTATAAAATTGTATTTAATATTTGTTGAAAAGTATTGTTATGCTGAGATTGCAGATATAATGAGCTTAAATGTATGAACAATGTTTATTTAAATAAAATTTAAGTACTTGTTTGAAACAATTTTCTTAAGGAAGCAGGAAGAACAGAATTAAAATATGCAATAAAAGCAGGTACATGTATCTGCGCATTAAAATTTGAAGCCATTCTGTCATGTAGAAAAGGGCAAGATAGGGTAACAGCCGAATTTGGCCCGTTATTTGATGTTAAAATCAGAACACTGGTAAAATTGTGATAGTTTGTAGTTAAGAAGTTAAAATGATGCTTACTTTTAAACAAGCACTAATTTTTATTTAAAGCTTACGTTGTACATGGAAGCCACTAAAGGGTGCAGAAATAGGGCATTTTTCAGAATTTCCTCAAATCTGGTGGAATATAATTTTATCATATTTGGGACACATTTCTTTTTGGAAAACAAAGAGCACAAGCTTGACTATCTGAGATTTTTACACATAAACTGCATCTGATATTATTGTATAAAATATATAAATTTGCTAGATAGGCAAGTATGTGCTTTATGTTTTCCGAAAGAAAATGTGCTGTAAAATTGATGAAAATTTGCACAAAAATGAGAAACGTCGAAAATTGGCCTATTTTCCGACCTCACTGTGACCCTTGTATATTCTAAATCTTAAAACCAATACTCATTTTGTGGCAGGGGTGAGAAAAGGTTTTTATGGATAAACTGTTGGATCATTCTGAAAGACACCCAAAATCGGGGACCAAATACTGTTCTTACCCTATCCTGTCCTTTGTAGTTCTTATTATCAAAATAAATTTGTGTTGTTAGAGTACTGCTTATCTTAGCAGTATCAGGGTTTTTTAGCCCTACGTGTCGGACAGTAGAAGAGCCTGTGCGTTTTTTATGTGTTATATTTGTCTGTTTAGTTCTTCGGTCATCTATTTCATTAAAATGTGTAAGCTAATACATGTAGGAATGCTAATCACAGCTTTCGCTAATTTTGTACAAGTCAAATAAAACACTTTTATGAATAATATCATCTACTAAAATGACGTTAAAAAAATCCGATTTACGAGCTTTGTTTATCCCTTACATAAAATATGATTACGTCTGATAATAATACAATCAAAACAACTTAGGAAGTGTAAGCCAAAATAAAAAAAAAAGGTTGCATATCAAAACAAAATACACCAAAATATTAAAACATATTACGTAATATACAATTGTTATTATCCACTTCATTTGCAATTTTTTCCCCAACTCCTTATACTTAATGTCGATTTAAGATTTCATCAACAATTTTTTACCATGGCTTGTAAAAGTAATACAGCATCGACTTTTCATCATTTCACGGATGTTTTAAGACATTCATTGGTTCGTTGTCGCACAAATCACCATTTCGTATGAATTTGTGGAAATTTGAAGAGTTATATTTAGAAGTGTCGATTGCATCATTTAGGCTAATTATCAATGTAAACATCTTACTTATATTCGATAGATTTTTACTCTTAAAATAAAGATTACTTCAAAAGAATGTTCGTGATGTTGTTTGTTCGGAAATTCAAGGGAAAGTATTCAGAGGCTATTAGAAAAAGAAAAAAACAGAACAAAACAAAAAGATGTTGCAAAGGGACATCCTATTATAGTTTAGGCAACTACAGTATGGACACCTACGAAATGATTTGGTCCATCGTAATTTTTATATCAATCGGAAGAACAAACTCCTTTGGTAAGATTTGTTTTTATCTTATCGTTGTTATGATTCTATACATAAAACATAAATATAGTATAAATATTATCATTTTTCTATTACTGCCAAAGTTAATTGTGATTTCATCAAATTTCATTCAAAATTATTCCGATTTCATCAGTAATTTTTTTCCTCCACCATGATATCTCATCTCTCATCTAATGTTTAAAGGTCTGTATTTTTTCTGCTCAAGTTTTGTTCTGTCTCATAATGAAGTTTTTCAAGCTTAAATACTTTTTCTCACAGTATATCTCCATATTTTCTTAGAATTTTTAGCTTTTAAAAGGCCGGTGAGTGTTAGTACTAGATACAACAGTGAGTACTTTTCTCCGAGTAATGCTGTAGACGGGGATCGCAGTACTGAACTGTTGAAATGTACACTGACGGGCTTTGACCAGAAAGAGGCGTGGTTAAGGGTAGACCTTGGCTCGAAGAAAAATATCGAATCGATATCAATTCTTCATGGAGGTTGTAAGTATTTTCTCCTTTGTTTAGGATGCATGCTCCATGCACGTTTCTCCGTCCTTATTTTCTTTGCTGAAGCATTTTCATTATAAATTTGTTGAAATGATATCCTTCATGGAATAGAAAATGTATAAATGGTCGATTCATCTCGTTGCAAATTTTGAGTTTTCCGTGTAGAAAAAGTATTTACTTGGTGTATATTTTAATAAGAAAGTTATCCATTTTTCCCTACATTTTGAAACATTGTGGTATTAAGAAATATATTGACTTGTACTTGAAGGCAAGAGACTTGCGAAATATTTTTCTTTTATATTATAGTTAGGGCTTTATAATTGTTAACGCAATCAGAAGAGACGCATATATTTTTTTTTCAATGTGGGGCATTCTGTTTGAAACAGAATCAATATGTGCACAATTATTTCTTCACAGTGGGTGTGGATGCATCCCCAATAAGCTCCACTACTTCTGGTGTACTGCCAGATAATGACGGTGCAGGACATGTATTTCTGGTAGATAATGGAACAATTTGTGGGGAAAATTTTGGGACAGGAGATGCAATGGTTATCTGTCTGATATGGGGATTTATTCCGTAAGTTTAATACAAGCATTTCATTATTTAGCCCTTCATGTAGCCTGTCAAGAAAAAAAAATAGTTTGGAAGTACATGTAGTAAGGTGTCCGCCGTCCGTCTCTTTGTTTTCAATTCATTACACAAAGAATAAATATTAAGTATAGAATTAATATTTTCAAAATTTATTCTAATTGTTTCTATAAAGAAGTCTAAAATGCTTTTCCAATTTATTTTAATACCATGGCTTAAAAAAATGAAACATCTGTAAAATGGTATCATTTACAAGGTTTAAAAATTAAATATAAAAAAAAATTAAAACTGAACTTGTTTGTTAAAAAAAAAACTGACGATTTCTTTAAAAAAAAATATCTATTGTTCCAGAGATTATCCATCATACAGAAAAGTGAATATGTCTTCTAGGATTCTTCTAAATGATCCTGAATGTAAAGGGGACGAAGTCAGCATCAATGAATGTCCGATGGGAGGACGAAATTGTTCTTCTGGTGAATCAGTGTCAGTAAAATGTAATGGTAAGTCGATATGCTTTTACATTTTTAGTTATTTTTATTTTTCTGTTATCGGCGGCGTGAGGCAGTGGTTAGAGTGTTGTGAAGTGCATTAGTATAAGGAAATGCAATTTACCCCACCTCTGTTGATTTTTCCGTGAAATCCTGGCTTACGATTGGTTGAAGTCTATCACGTGAAGGCAGTGGATTACTTGTACCCGGTCAGTTGTAAATCCATACCCGGTTAGTAAAATCTATACCCGGTCGATATATTACGTCACAAACACAAACGTGACGTCATAATAGGCACAGTATAAGCGCGATGAAGCATTTAGCAGAGAAAACCATTTATAAACTACAGATAAAACGTAAATGTTTCATCGGTGGGATAAATTCGTTACATAGTCTTTTAGTGACAGGGTATGGGATGATAAATGGTTAGTAAATTTCATACCTGACTCGGCTCCGCCTCGCCAGGTATGAAATTTACTAACCAGGTATCATCCCATACCCTGTCATTAAAAGACTATGTATCTAATAATACAGTTAGTACAACTCGTGAAAATGGTGAGGGGTAACAATAGATTACAACCCACCTGAGTTGTGGACACCGGACGGGGCAGTGTCGTGAGACGTCTGCATTGATCCTGGGTATTATCACAACTGGCTTAATATGGTAGTGATCAGCTGATTGTGACGTACCAAATACATGTGTAGAAGGATCCCGAACCCGAACTCTTTTATAAAGATTCTGGATTGTTAAGGTCTGCAGGGGTAATAATGTATTGTAAAGCGCTTTGAGTAGCATTTATGCTAGAAAAGCGCTATATAAAAAACAATCATTATTATTATTATTATTATAAAGCCTTTATCACTACCCTTTATCACTTTAACGCTTCCTTCGATTTGTGAAGTAAGGAGTTAATCCTTACGTTCTAGGTTCGAATCCACTGCGGGACATGAATACCGGATCTTGACTGAGAGTGTTAAAATTGAATTCCCTATCGCAGTAGGTGTTGCCACAAAAACCAGAAATAATGTCTTTCGAATAGCCTTGAGTATTGCGTAAATATCAACCTCAACATCTAAAGCCTTGCACCAGCAAGTAATGTGTCTCTTTATGGGCGAACAATTCTGGAGAGGGACGATAAAATTAAACAAACAAAAAAATTTACATGAGCATTCAGAAAATATCATTACAATCTGAAAGCTGTAAGGGAAATATACAGTACTGTAAGACGGTAATCAACATTTTTTCCCCACAATTCAATAATTAACAACCCTGTTTTTTAACAGAAGGAAATACCTTTGCTGGTTTCTCAGTTTATGTATCTGACACGGAAGACTTTAAATCGGGCCATGCTTGTCACTATCATGCAGTAGAGGAAATACCAAGCAATACAATATCTTTTCCTTGCATCACTTCGGGTCGTTACGTCACTATTTTCAACTCAAGGAATGCGACACAACTTCCATCCCTGTCAGAGTGGGCATATATCAATATTTGCGAATTAAATGTTGCAGGTATTTATTTTCAATTTCTCACTTATCAAATTTATTTGGACATTTGAATGATGATCAGTCCGTCAATGTGCCTGATTGTTCTTCTGCTATTGAGGTTTCACATACTATTTTTTCAAGGTATCAAAGTCTGTACACATTTTTATAGGTTGTGATTTTGGCTTTTACGGAGGGGAGTGTTCTAGATGTCCTGGTAACTGTCTAGACGATAATTGTCATGTCCAGACAGGTCTGTGTTCTGGCTGTAAGGATGGGTTCACAGGACCAACTTGCACTACAGGTATATTTCACATCACTACATATTATAATTTATGGTTTTGCTATAGTTCTATAAGGATATTGTTGTATTTTTTCCTTTGGTTACATAAAAAAGTAATATCTAAAATGAATTTTAACTACCTGTGAACAGAGTATTTAAAAAGAATAATTAAATGTCACCTGGCCCTTGATCATAATGCTTTGTACGCTTAAGTCAAAATATTCATGCTTTACTAAAATTTTGATTACGTAAAACAGTTAAAATAAAAATATCTATCAATATTGCTTCATAATATTGTTGTTGTTTGTTAATAAAGAGATTCATTCAATAATTGATAAATATTTTACAGTTGACTGAAAATTTGACTTTAATCTAAATAGATTTCATGATCCTTCGCCCTGATCTTTTTTTAACCCATTGATATGCAAAACACAACAATAGATTCTGTATTTATATTTATTTTTGCTGTGAAAATTAAGTACTCTCTTTAAAAAAATAATCTAATCCAGAATGTTCAGCTGGACTGTATGGACCGAATTGCTCTCTGACTTGTGCACAATGTCGTGACGGAGAATCATGCAACAATATAAACGGGGCTTGTCCTAATGGGTGTTCCGCCGGCTGGATGGGAGAACAATGTAATCTAAGTAAGTCTAGATTCCAAGTTTAAGATTTCTCTTTTATAGACAGAACAGAGTTTGCTAATTATCACCTTATCCTTTATCTTCTAATCTGATTGATTGATTGATTGATTGTATATTGTTTAACGTCCCTCTCGAGAATTTTTCACTCATATGGAGATGCCACCATTTGCCGGTGGAGAGCTGCAAATTTTGTCCTTTACTCGGCACTGAGAGCCATTGAGCAGGGAGGGATCTTTTTCGTGCCAGCACCTACTGCGACACGGGACCTCGGTTTATACGGTCTCATCCGAAGGACCGGTCTTCACGTCCCGCAGTGGGATTCGAACCTGCGACGTAAGGATTGACTCCTTACTTCGCGACTCTAGAGCAGACGCTCTAACAAATGCGCCACGCGGGCGACTCTTCTAATCTGAAAAACCATGTGAAAAGTTTATTTTTTCCGGAGGTGTTTTTTTTTTAATGTAAATGCTAGTCACTCCTGAACTAAAAAAAAAAAAAAAAGAAAAAATGATTTCTTTCTTTTATTTTGTTGTCTCAAAAAAAGGAAAAGGTTACAAATGAAACTTTATATACATTGTTTTTAAACTTTCGGAAAAAAATAGAAACTTTGAATATTTGTATTTTTAAATATTGTCAATAGCCTTATTCATCATTCATGAGAGAGGAATAAAATATACTGTATATAAATGTTTCTGTCTAGAATGTGATTACGGTTTCTTTGGTCAGGAATGTAACAATTCCTGCAACATTCCTAACTGTAAGAACAGCTCCTCATGTGATGACGTCACTGGTGCATGTCTTCTCGGCTGTATTGATGGTTGGACAGGGCAAATCTGCAATGGTTAAGTTTATTAATTTTTAAAAATATGCAATGGTTAAGTTTATTATTTTTTTTAACAACATATGACTACTTCTTATATAAAACATATGGAGGTGAGTGCAGGAAACGAAGGAATTATGTAAGCTTATATTTATTTCTGGGTTTTTTGTTTGTTTTGTTTTGTGTTTGTTTGTTTTCGAGTGTTTTTGTGTATTCTTTGTTTGGGGCAAATCCATAATACAAATCACTGAATCAGAATAACGAATTACGTCCCGCAACTGTCATATTTTGGAGATGCAGTTATTCGATATCACATGGCTTTCAAAAAAAGGTTTTTTTTTCTCGTTTATTGACCAAGGATAAAGAAAACATACAAATAATTATTCGACCGTCTAGATAAAGCAAAAACAGTCTCTTCTTAACTATTTGCAATTTGGTTTGCCTTACCAGATGACAAATTTTGATTCAGAGTAGTCTGAGCTATTGAAACACCTGATGAAAAAATGTATTGTAAATGTGCTTTCTTAATCCCCACAATTTAGATGCTTAGTAATTATGAGGTAAAATGCGTTCTCTGAATATTTGGCTCTAAATTCGCTCTTGCGTACATTTGGGGGGACAAATAAAGAAATTTGTAGACACGCTTTTTTCTTAAATTTCTTTATGTATATTTGAAGTTTACACTTTAATGAGGGTGAAACAATGTTTGAATAGATAATCAAGTCAAAAATAAATATTTTATCAATGTTTGAAATGTGTGTAACGTAACATATGACAGACATATAACGTAACATGACAGACGTGTAACATATTATGACATGATTAGATAAAATTTTTTATGTTTAGCAATACAAATAATTAATAAAAAATAAATTTAAACATTTCTTTAAACAATGTTTAAAAAAATCATTCTGACATAGAAGGAAAAAAAAAACGATTTTTAGGCTACTTTTGATGCAAAAACTGACGAACGTAACACTGACAGACTTCTTTACTTAATCCAGCCAAGTCACTTTTAAACTTCATTATTTTAGCAAAAAAGGAAATGTTATCTTATGAAATTTACTTTGTTCAAATTTTATTCCTTATAAATTTTAAATTTGAATTTTTCTAAGATAAATCTCTGCAATACGCTTTTAAACATACAAAATTTCAACCATGTCTGTCATGTTACGTTATTTCTTGAGCAATACCCGTTTGAAACGAGCCAATAAAATTTATTATTCAAAGCTAATCTTTTATTCTTAGGAATTAGAATACATAAAATAATATTATTTTTGAAAATTCTTAGGAAATTTTGAAAATAATATTATTTAATATTGATAAAATCTATAACGTAACATGGACAGACGCACTTAACCCTGACAGACACGTTTCAAAAACTGCAAGAAAATAACTACAAAATTGTATAGTTTGAGTTATAAAGACAAATTCTGCCTTATAATACAATAATATGTTTGAATAAAATATCTTTTTGGTTTAATTCACTGAATCTTTAAATCTGAATGCATCTGTTTGATTAACGTAACATGGACAGACATTCGGTTTGTCCGTCATCGTTACGAAAATATTCGGGCAATGTCTGTCAATCGGTAAGTTATGTAAGAAATTCCAAATTTGAAGTGTTTATCTATTACATGAAGAGTGTACAATTTCATAATTTAAACAAAACGTACAAAATACATCTACTAGTTGACAATCGTTGATGATATGTGTATAAAATCTAAGATAAAGACGACCTATAGTTTTGTGAACGTAACATACTTTTTTGTAACGTAACACTTGGACAGACAAGCTTTCGTGGCTTCTCGGAATCTCTCGGTAGCTCTTCCGATAGAAATATAAAAATATTTGCATAGAACATTGGAGAAATTTTAAATATTCATGACCTTAAGTCAAATGCATGAGAAGAAGCGTCTCCGAGCTTAATTCTTAAATTTGCACGTAACGCCCACTTGTCATGACAGACACAGGAAGCATCTCACAGATTTGTTAATTTCTCGGCACATTCGCTTTTCTGTTGAATCTGTGACCACTTAATTGATAAAAAAGTAAACTTTCTACAAGTAGACAAGAAAATTAAGAGTGTTTGCATAAGGAATGTCCCATTTAATAGCATTTTACCATGTGTATTGAGACGGACAGACGTTACGTTCAAAATATGAGGAGAAATAAAATTCATTTTTTCTTTTATTAGAGTCATAATGTGCATTAAAATACTTTTGTATGTAAATTCTATCCTTCCTAAACAGTAGTAAATAAAAATATTCTGTGTACAAGGTATCATTGCCGTATATTAGTCTTTTATTTTGACATGGTTGAAAATGTCCCCCTACACATGCGTGATTCTAGTGGAATTTTCAAATTCATTTCAAGAAAAATAAGTAAGTTGATGAAAAAATCTGCTCATATTGTCTTTTCTATGTATTTGCAATATAGTTTTCAATATAAAATATTTTTTATTTCAGTTTTTTCAATAATTTTTGAAATATTTCTCTTGTAAAAGTCATAGGTCAAAATGTACACAAAAGCGAATTTAGAGCCATTTACATTTCTAAAATAAGGTTTCTTAAATATTGATATGTGCTGGAATTATTTGAAGATGATTACCAAATGCACCAATAAAAAAGTTTTTCTTTCTTTTCACAGAAAAGACCAGTGATATGGTCACATATATCATCGCCGGCTCAGTATCATCGATCATTTTCATTATCTTGGTCGTCGCTGTTTCTGTAACACTCATCCATAAAAAGCCTTATCATAAGAAAGAGGAAAGCTTCGAAAAGTCGTCAGCGAATAGTGTAAAAAGAGAGTATGATCACATTGCAAAAATTAGGATAAATAAGAAATTAGAGGCTAACCAGACATGTTATATGGATACCTCAATAGAAGACATTATAACAAGATCCCAGCATGTGTATGATGAACCCGAATTTTAAACTTTTTTGATCTAAACAATCCGAGTTAAAATGGCATACTAATGAATCGTGAATTGAAGTTCAGATGAGGTATCGCTTTCTTTGAACCAATTTTGAATGATCAGTATCATGCCATCGTAATTTATATTGTCATTTAAATTAATATGATCCGATTTTACAATGTATTTCTTATACGGTTATATAAAAATATTTTCTAATTGTTTTCTTTATAATGTCTCATTGATTCTTAGGATTGATTGATTGAATTTCTATTGTTTAACGCCGAGTCGGCAATATTGCAGCCATATTTCGGTGGACAAGTTTGTTTATTGACCGGTTTTTGATCGATTTTGGTTTCTCTGGCGCCCCCCCCCCCCCCCCCCCCCCCAATGAGCCTACTCTTTTTCGAACTTCATAGAAACGATCTTTTACGTGTCAGGGGGGTTTTATCTTTAACACGGGGCACCATTTTATGTCCCATTTAAAATATGTAAATTTTTAAAAATAAAATGATCTTAATATATCTCATAAAATTGCTCTAATCATTTCTATATTTTATTGTAAAAATCAGTTTCATGTAAATATTCCAAAATTGCATGTACATTAATATTTGTAAAAAAAAAATCATATATCGTTTCTGCATGACCAAAAAGTCTACTTCGAATAGGCGAAAAAACAGAACATTCCAATAAAATATGATTTATAGTTATCGAACAGTCACAGGATATACATTCAGGCTGAGACTCCCGATTCAGTAAGTGTTCATGTGTTTTTTTAGAGTGACCAATACGTATTCTTTATATAATTACTTCGTTTTGACGTTTCAGACCGAAGTCACATGATTTGTTATGGGATTGATTTCGTGATAATTCCGCCAGGTAAAGCCCTGGAGCCAGTCATATATTTCCGTCTCTGACATCAGTTGACTGGATTTAAAAAAAAAACAAGGGATGCCTCTTGTATTTTAAATCTATTCGACATACTATATTTACAATTAATTTCACATAATAATAAATGTTTATATGAGGAGTCACTGTCTAGTGACTTGGGTATTCATGGAACCTGGACGAGAGTTAACTTATGTAAATAAGTCTTACGTTTCCAATTATTCTTGATAATATAGCATACCCAGCAAATCATATAAGAAGTGTAATTTAAAAAAAAAGAAAGAAAGATAATGCTTATTTTTTATGTATTTATTTATCAATTAATGTACCTGTATATCCAACATTTGAGTCGACGAAAAAAACAACAACATCTAATTATCTATTTAATTCTCATTTTCACGATCAAAGACATTGCTCAACTTTTCATCTCTCTCTTTGAAAATGCATTTACTTGTTTTAGTTTTCACTTATTTATTTATTTTATGGACGATTTCCTCGTAACCCACTGTGCATAATACTAAAATGAGTAAAAATTCCATGGATCCATTATTATATTTTATCACAGTCTTGTTACATCTGATATAAATGAAATCAAAATTTGAATTTAAAAAAAAATCATTATATTGTAATTATTCCATGCTTTTCAAATTTAACTACAGCGGAAATATCCATTTGTACACTTGAACTTCTTGTACTAACTGCATTTAAGTCGACAATTTTTATTTGTTTCCATCAAAAAAGGCAGTTGCGGTTTTGAATGAAAAAAAAAGCAAAACAAATGATGTATGCACACTTAAATTTTTTTTTTATTTACTTGAGACATCTTCATTTTCATTTAGATTGCTATTGACAACAAATCTAACAAAATATATATATATATGCAAAAACCTTAATAATTATTTACCTTCCAAATGAGAGAAAAAAATATTCATTCGAAGAAATGTTATTTGAAACAAAATTTCATTGTTAATAGAGTAATAGTCGCGAATTCTATTATCAGCACTTGTCACACAGAAAAAAACCCAATGGTATTTGTATAAATTGAGTAAACTGTCGAAATTATCAAGTTAGAAAATTGGTTTCCAGGAATTTCGTCTTGAAAATCGGCTTTAAGAATTTCTTGCATCGTTGCAAACCACAGCCATAATGTACGATCCTTTCCCATTCTGGTCGTGGTTGAATGAGACGAGAACATTTCGTAGATCATTAAAAAAAATGACCAATGCGAGTAAAGCATGGCCGAAAAATGAACGATCCGACCTTTCAATATTCAATCGTAGTGTAAGAAATATTTCTTGTGTACTATGATGTCAATATTGATGATATCAATTGCGATGGAAATAAAACAATGACTGAATATAACGATCACAAAGAGAGAGATGTAAATATTGAAGATTACGACACTTTTTGTGACCAAGCAGCCACGGGTAGAAGAGAGCTAAATATATATGCGGACACCGGACCGCGGCTTAAGAGGATGGATTTCTTGCTGGACTATTCATTGTTTTCTAATAGAAGTTTTACTTAAATTCATACATACATACATTTGTGTATCTGTTTGTATATTTCATCATAGTCAAAACGCAAGTAAGTTAAGGCAAGCTAGAACATTTTCCATGGGAATGAGATAATGAAAATGCATAAATTGTGTAATTTTCACACAGAGAAGGTTCAATCTTATTTTCTCATACATACATACATAGCATGATAGAGCAACAACACATTATGACGTCATATTATGACGACATTAAACTTTTCCATTCAAAGTTATGAACATCAACAAAATAACGCCGGCGCAAGGACAATCCATATATAATTTTCAGTAAGTAAAGTAAAATATTACAAAAAATGTTATAAAAATTAATACCATTGCTGCAGAAATCTTGCAATGGACAGTGAATTTTTGCCCTGTTTATAGCTTAAACTTTTGAAATAGTAACTAAACAATCGCACTGTAATATCATAAATCCTTGTAATCTTTTGTGTCGAATAATACCTTGCTTTTGCAGTACAAAGTTGAGTATGCCCTGGCGCCGAAGCTTTTTTGTAGATGTTCCTTATAAACTTGTTTAGTACAAGACTATGACGTCATAATATGAAATCATGATGTGCACTGGCTTGGGAATGTCATGGGTACCAACAAAACAAGTTTTAACTTTTTCTGAGCAATAATTTCAGTCCTTCTGCGTTTAATTACTTCATTGCATAGAAACCTCTATGCATTGCCTTAACTTACTTGGAATATCTTCTTATATATTGTATTTCTAAAATTTCAATTGTATCATGAACGTATATAATAAACTTGAGTTCAATTTTTTTTTACTTTGAAATGACTGCAACTTGCTACACATTTCATTTTAATGTTTGATGATCCCTTTTTTACAAGTAAGTTTTTTTTGTAAATGCTATTTAGCATAAATGCAGATTTTAAAAAAAAGTTACAATAGTAAAACGCTTTAAAAAAAATCAGTGTACCAACGGCAGAGTAACATAGTTTGAATTTTAAAAAAAAGCGATACTACTGAAGCAAGGGTTACGTTTCTCTCTCCCCTTAAGCTGCACAAATATTATTTCTTTATGGAAAGGCGAATATGACAATTATAATTCATCATCTAAAATTACTTTAACATGATATTCAGAATGCAAGGTAGTCATGTCTTTCAATCCTATGATCCCAATTTTTTTCATTTAATTTCATCACGTTTTTTTTTTCGTTTAAATCGGAATTAAGTTATAAAGATGATTCAATTTTTCCATCCTTAACTGAATATCTTGTCTCGCTGTATTTTCGCTTAAGGTCATACGCAACGTAGTTTGAACTTTTTGGGATTCTTCTCTGGAGTTGAAGAGTTCCATTAATAAAGGACATGTTTGCAATGTTTTTAATGTGTATTTATTGAATTGTACACCTATTCTAAAACAATTTTTGACAAAAAAAACTGAAAATTATGTTTTATAATTTTTGTATATTTTTATTTGAATAATGCCAAAATTTTCAAAATTCGATATCTTTTCAAAACCCCTGGTAACGCATGCTGATTTTTTTGTCTAAGAACATGTAATGATATTATAAGTTTAAATTTAGAATATCTTGTAAAGTTATCAGTAGGTAAGGTACGTTGAGTATGTCCTTAATTCGCAAGAACAACTGCAAGATCTACTCGGGTCTCTAGAATTTACAGGATATCAAGATATAACCTGTCCCGAAACAAAAAGAGTGTGAAAATTCCTCTAAGCGTTTAGGTATTACTGGAATATTGCTGAATTTTGAAGAAAATGGATAGATTGGAATATTTTCAGCTAATGCATAAATAATTATATCAAGGATATATTAACTACTGTGGTTTCATCAATATTATTAAATAATTAATCGCTATTTTTTTTTTATGTACCACAGACACCAAAAAAGAAACGATATCCTTCTTGAAATCCAATGTCCTTATTCTTTCAGTAAAGAGTCGGACAAACAACATAAGTCGGATATCCTGGCACATATGTAAAAATCCAATGGTTTGTTTTCGGTCTGTAGTCTCCTTTCCTATAAGATGTGCTATACTAAAGTGCGCTGATCTGTCACTCTAACATCCGATGTTACGGAGAAGCAACATTTACGACGTCACAAAAATCCTTGACACTGATGTCCTTGATTTAAACGATATCACTCTTGAATTCGTCCTTTCATACAATTGTTTTCATTTTGATTGATTTGTTGAACCTTACATGTATATTAGGATTCTTTCTTGCAGGCTACTCGACTGACATTGATAATTTCTTGCTTTTCACCAAATTTTCTCCTAATGACCTAATAATCCACTTTCTAAATTTTGACAGAATTGTCATCTTTTAAAGGTTTTTCCGGAATTATTTTTTTAAATACGCCTTACCCATTATTTACCGGGAACCCCTTTTATTTGTGCCTGTCTTTATCCTTATGGTTTGTTCATAGTTTAATGAACCGAGCTGCGTCAGTCAAAAAGCATTTTATACCTTTCTCTGTATGAGAAAATTTTGTGAAAATGCACAAAGATAGCTATTTAAATGAAACCACAAATGGCTCGAGATGAAAGAAAAATTTAAAAGGGTACTATGTAAAAAATCAAATTGATATCCTTTATTTCTTCATTTTCCTTCTCTGCAGTTTAGAAACAGTAATGCGTCTAAAAACTTTCTCATTGGCATTTTCTCTATTGCTCAGGAAATAAAGTACAATATATAAAACATATACACAGTCTATGCACAAAACAGGTCATAAGAGCCATATGATATTCGAATGAATTGTTGCTTAGTAAACATAAATTGGTTGATTTCTTTCAAATCAATGTTGTTTGAGAAGCATAAATAAAAAAAATCTCAAATAAAAGGTTATGTTGCTAAAAAAGGAAACCATTTCCAACACGGTTTAATCTTTTTAAAAAAAATCAAGCAAAATTATAAAATATCTAAAGAAGGCAGTATGAAAAATCTCATGAAAAGGGAAACAGGAAAACAACAATTGCTATCATTATCGCAATATGAGCAGATTTCCTTGTAGTTTAATTTTTTTTTTCAAATCAAGAGTTCTGAGGTTGTAATATTAAAAGTCACCGCTAAATGTAATGAATAGAGATGACAAACAGAATTCGACCTTTAAAGTTCACTGAACCAAAGCAAATCCAGAGCAAAGCAAACGTGGAAGTCCAAAAAATCAGAGTTGGGATCAGCTGCCAAGGCGGAGTATGCTCCCTGCCATGATCGGGAAAATAACAGAAATATCCGTGGACAATTCAATGTGTACATAATGACCTACAATTAGTAATAAAAGCCTGTCAGCATTTTATTTAATGATAGATTGTATCTGCTGACAGTCATTGTATGGACCATTGAATTTGATAAATGATGACTTTATACGAAACTGTTTTATCGACTTTTTTGTCAATAAATTATCTCATTTTAGAAATTGTTCATACAGCATGATCTAGCTTATCTAATCAATTGATGAGAAACATAAACTCTGTACACAGGTGATAAGGGTATATTGCTGCCTAAATAAGGGAAGTTTGCGATTGGAAAGTTGCAGTCATCACGTTTATCAGAGAGCTTTCTTGTTACATTACCAATTCAATATAGCCTTTTTCTAGTAAGTGTAGAGAATAGACCCGCTTCTCTTTGCAATCTTAATTTATTAGATCCCTTGGTCGCAAACTAGAAGACCTTATTCATAAAATGTGTCCGTCGTCTGTTTAGCTGTCCGTCTGACCATTCCTCTTACATTTTACCAAGATAGAAGACAGGTATGCTTTTCTCAAATTTATTATTCTTAATATTGGTTTAAGATTTCTTCAATGATGTTTCCCAGGCCTCTAAAAGTTAAATTTTCTCTCTTTGAAAAAAAAAAATTAAAAAGTCACTGTTTTTGCAGTTTTGAAAATATTTTATTACCTTTTGGTATATGAGCATAACCAGTATATCCTAAATAACATTTTTCGAAGTTTCTTTTTTTAAATATCGACAAACGGTTTTGAACGTCAAAGATACATAATTATCTTTTTTGCATATTAATTATGACAAACGGAATTGACATGGTTACAAAAAAGAATGTGTGTGAAATTCTTCAGTGTACATTTTTATCCGATTTCAATAAGATTTGTATACGTACATGTATACATATACCATACATAAATAATTCTTTTTATCTGTGTTTGGTTTTTCATGTTCCGGGAGTTAGTTTAAAGAAAACGATTCTGATGAATATTTTCAAGTTCTTGCTCCTCATCGGGTTCAGTTAGGTGTAGTAGACAGTCAAGTAGTCCGTATATTGTTTGTACCGTTATGCATTTTCTCATGTTTTGAAGGCCCGAGTTTGCTCAGCTCCTATTTTGTATTGTTTAAAAATATGGTCTTTCTCAATCTGAATTATGCAATAGTATTTTTCAAAATACATATATGTTTGCAATGTGTGTTACCTTCATGGTCACTGTTTAAAAACTAATGTAGTGTAATATACATAAGAACATGTCAACATGTAACGGATTTTACCGGTTTAAAAGATTGGCTCGTTGTCAAACAAATCGCCATTTATGTTATATTTTTGTGCAATGTTTAAGAGTTAGGAAGAGAAGGATATTGCTTACATTATTCAAGCCAATTATCCCATGTTAACAGTCTATACTAATACATCAGATATATTTTTACTTTTAAAATATGTTACTTCAAAGTGATGTGTGTCATGTTCTTGTTTGCAAATGTAATTTTAAACAAATACTCGGAAGTAAACAGAAAAAAAGAAACAAAAAGACATGTCGAATGAAATCCCAATTATATTCAAGCTAACTTCAGTATGGAAACCTACGCAATATTTTCGTTCATTGTATTTTGTAAGTTAACTGGAAAAACAGACTCCTTCAGTAAGATTTGTTATAACTTTTTAGTTGATGTAATTCAATACTTCAAACACGCATAGATACGATTGTAATATCTAAAATGTCAAAGTAAATAGTCTTATCAAATTTCATTGTTATTTCTACCGAAATTAACTTCTTTTATCCTGCATGGCACCTGATCCCACCTCTGATATCCGTATTTTCTCTGCTCTTTATTTATATTGTTTCATTGGAAATTGAACTTGTATACTGTTCGTTAAATCCATATTTTCCAATAGAATTTTTAGCTTTTAAAAGGCCGGTGACTGTAAGTTCTAGATACAACAGTGAGCACTTTTCTCCAAGTAATGCAGTAGACGGGGATCGCAGTACAGACCTGCTGAAATGTACACTGACGGGCTTTGACCAGAAAGAGGCGTGGTTAAGGGTTGACCTCGGCTCAAAGAAGAATATCGAATCGATATCAATTCTGCATGGAGGTTGTAAGTATTTATGACACCCCTTCCCCTTTTGGATATTTAGGACACATGTATGGTAAGTTTCTCTTCCTGTATTTTCTCTGCTACCACATTTCTTTATTTATTATAAACCTAATGTGTATTACTCGATTTTACTATTGATTTTATGCAATCAAGTGAAGTCGTAATCCGACTTTCCGAAACACCACACTGTGGTTTTCTGAATTTATATCACTACTTTCTGAAACTGATGACGTAGTACGCAAAAACATGACGTTATCCTTCTTGCGCGTTAAAAAGTCCATTGCTTTTTTTGCATTGTTTTATGAATATTACACAACTGATTTATAAATTTTTAACTTGCTATATTTAGCCAGTTATATGATAAATTAATAATCAATTTAATTAATAATAAATTTATCATTATAACAGTAACTTGATCCGAAGAGCCGTATCACGTCTCGTTGACAGGGGCGGATCATCAGATCAAACTCGACGCTTCGCGTCTCGTTAGATCTGATGATCCGCGCCTGTCAACTCGACGTGATACGACCATTCAGATCAAGTTATTGTTATAATAATATATATTTATCTGTTGATATTCTCCATGGAAAACATACACATTTATATAGAAATAAGTGGATTGTCTCAGAAACTCTTAGATATTTATGTAATAACAAAAAGGTCATTCATACAAAAGTTCATATTAAGTAAGAAGCGACGATGTATTTTCTAAATTTTTAAAACATCGTTGTTGCTATACAGTCATATAGTCTTGAAGATGTAAACGGTAGACATATATTCTTTTTCCACAGTGGGCGTTGATGCTTCTCCAATAGAATCAACTATACTGGGTGTACGTCCAGACTCTGACGGCACTGGGACTGTATATCTCAGGGGCAATGGGAATGTATATCTCAGGGGCAATGGAACAATATGTGGGGATAACTTTAATACGGGAGACGCAATGGTGATATGTCTAATATGGGGATTTATTCCGTACGTACCTTAGTTGTATTTGTAATTATTTTGTTAGCCCTTCTTTTTGCATGTTGAGGATATAAACATGTATGCACTGGAAGAGTATCTGTCGTCTGTTTGTCTGTCTATGAACAATTTAAAAAACTGCACTATTTTTTATCCAGATTCGATAACATTTTCGAAAGTGGATATTTAATTATAATTTTCTTGTTATCACACAAATATCTAAAAGAAAAAAAACATATGTATTGAAATTATTTAAGATACTATAGCTTTGTCATTTGTAAGTGCAATTAAACTTGGAAATACTATACAGTCAAACTTGTCTTAGCGGCCACCCGAGATCAACGGCCACTCGCGGTCAGCGGCCACTTTCAGTTCCCCCCGATGATTTTTCCTATATATTTTAACTGGAATAAACGGCCACCTGTCTAACGCGGCCAGCGGCCACTCAAATCCTCCCCCAACAGTCTTATTGACACTGTAATAGGCGGTCATTTCGTCACATGTTGCGATCATATCACATCTTTTAAATGGCTTGGGTAATTATATCCTCCATATTCAATTTAACCTATTAATGCAATTAAACAAATTGCTTTTAGATACACTGAACTCTGTTTGTGTTTATGAAAAAAAAAAAATATTTGTCCTGTTAGATCAATTTGTAATTATTTTTCAAGATCGCCGATTGAAAAATTAAAAGAATTTAATAACAATTGATACTTTCCTCTAGCTAAAGAAATTCACAGCTTTTAGAATTTGATTCCATGTAGAAGCCCTAATTGCTACTCTTGTAAAAACAAAGTGCTTCATATGGCATGATTATCTCGTGAATTTCACTATCAAAAGAGGATCGATAGGGATTACTCACGCTCTACTGCATATGACACCTGTGTTATGGAATGATTTTCAACTGCGTAAATACATCTCTCTGGTCAACTGGTTAATTTTATTTGTGTGTCTGTGTATGTTAAATAGAAATTCTGGCAGCATTATAAACAATAAAATTAATCAGACTTTATAAACTTCAGCAAGTAAGTTAATTACCCGGGGGGGGGGGGGGGATGTTACACTGCTGACTATTTTTTTAACATAATTATGTAAGTGAAATTTTTATTGACATGTTTTTACTTAAATTCCTATGCTTTATTTCATTTACCATTATACTGTATTTTTGTGTATTTTTTCTTTATAAAAAAGGATAATAGTCAGCCACTTTGTCTTTATTCAAATAAAAATTAAGAGAATTTATTTAATAATTCAATGTAGCAAAAGCACACTTATGAATGCAAGTTGTTTAACAAATATGTAAGAACAGAAACATGCACAAAACTTAAACATTTCGAATCCTTTAATATTCTTTTTAAATGAGTTTGAATTAATATATATACACATAAAAAGATTTTAAGAAATTGAACTGTTTTATTATGATTAATTAATTTAACTGTAGTGCTTAATGTTGTTTATTTATTGACCAAATGTCCTTTTCGAAGGCAAACTGGAATAAGAGGCCACCTGTCTTAAGTGGCCAGTTTCCGGACTTCCCAAAGGTGGCATCTTAAAACAAGTTTGACTGTAATTCTATTATAGAAAATTTCTGACAATAACATTTTATCAATGTAAAACAGTTGGCAGAGCTGTTGCTTCTTTATTCTTTGCAATCATTCATTCGTAGAGATCCTACAACATTGTATAGTCAGTGTTTGTATTATTTTCCCTCCAAAATCGTCCTAGTAAAAGCTTCGATCTGTACTACCTAACTAATTTATCTCAGAAAAGTGCATATATAAACATCAAGTGTGTATTTAATAAATTTTACTGTGGCGAAAATTGGGCACGGCTGTTTATCCAGAGACCAAATTTATGAAAAATTATTGGTATCTCTGGCAACACAACAAAGCAAAGATTACATAAATTAATATTAAATATTCAAACTCAGGTTCAAAGTTCATAGTTCAAAGGTCAAATTTCACAAACACCATCTCAGAAAGTGGTAAAAGCCTTGATCCTAGGAGGTGCAGAGGTCAAGCACTTATTTATGTATATCTAAATCCAACGTTTACTTTTCAACTTTTATGAGTTACATGACTGCATGTAAGGATTGTTACTTAGTGCCGCTCGTTTACGCACATCTCAGCTGGAAAGAAACGGACATCCGTACCAAATTATATAAATCAACATTATTGTTTTAATGTTGTGGTTAGAGGAAAGTTATTGGTTCCTGCAAAATTGGTGCATGATTTGCTCTTGGAATGAATCACTTCCATATGAATAGTTGTTCCTCACATCGCTTTCACATTACATCAAGTACAGAATGGTGTGTGCCCGTAAAGTCCTTGTAGTTCGATCCCCTGAGCTGTTCCTAAGACCCTAGTTTCATCTCATAAGCCCTGTCATGTTGAGACTGATATTCGCTCCAAGTCTTCCTCTGAAAGCATAAAAAACCAGGAAAGCAGCATCTATTCTACATGGGTGAGGTGGGTGGGTGTTTCAAATCTATAATACACAATAACAAGCTGGAAAATTTACCGACCCAAGATGATGCTGGAATATTGAAAAAGGAAGTAGCAACCAAAGCAACTTCAGGTGATTTTATTAAAAGGGGCAATAATCAACTAAAATATTTGAAAAGAACGATAATCACTAGGTATAAGTATTGAGACTTAGGTAAAGGCAATTGTGCACTTCCTCCGATAAAAGCAGCTAATTCAGAGTGATTTAGCTTTGAAAAATAAATAGAAATGTATATTTCTTGACACCATGTCTTATGGTTTCCAAAAAGAGGTTAATTTTTATTTATTTATTTATGTATTTGAATTTAAATGTAAATGTAATAAAATTTATGGCACTGTAAAATTTTCTTTTACCCGGATTAGAAATTATATGTGAGCGATAAATGTTGAGTGTGTTCGTTAACAAAAAAGGATGCCTTTTTTATGTTTAATGCAGGGACTATCCATCATACAAAAAAGTAAATACGTCCTCCAACATTGTACTGAATGACCCCAACTGTAGTGGGAACGAAGTTAGTTTAAACGAATGTCCAATGGGTGAAAATAACTGTACTTCCGGTCAATCAGTGTCGGTGAAATGTAGAGGTAAGTAGTTGTCTCATTATGTATCTCCTTATTTTCATTATCCGGGACATTTTGAAAATTATCTGTCTTTTTTAATGACAACTGTAACGTAGTTACAAAAACGATTTTGAAAGTGTGATATTGTATTGTTATCACAGTACAGTTAAACTTGTCAAACCGAGCACCACTGATTCGAAAGAAAAAAGCCGAAATAGACAACATATACTCCGAGAAAGACAAAATTTTAAACAAGTGAAATTGAAAAAAATGGACTTATATTTCACATTGTATACATAAAGCAAGATTTAAATTTCAGATCCGGATTAAACAATTTTTACTGTAATCGTTTTCATAATGGATTAATCAACAATCGTTTTTTTTAATCAGAAGGGAGTACCCTTGCGGGTTTCTCTGTATATATATCTGACACGGAAGACTGGAAATCGGGGCATGTTTGTCATTATCATGAGATAGAAGAAATACCAAGCAATACGATTTCTTTCCCCTGCGTCTCTTCCGGTCGCTATGTTACTGTTTACAATTCAAGGAATGCGACTCAATTCCTCTCTGTGTCCGACTGGGCATATATCAATATTTGCGAATTAAATGTTGCAGGTATTCTTTTTCATTCTCTCTGTAATTGAAGATTTATGGACATTTAAGTTTTTACCATTCCGTTTATCTTTATTTAGTGTTTGACATGAAAATCTTTCAAAATCTCATTTTTCAGGTTGTGATTTTGGTTATTATGGAGGAGAATGTTCCAGGTGTCCCGAAAAATGCCTAAACAATAATTGCCATATCCAGACAGGGGCCTGTTCTGCCTGCAAAGAAGGTTACACAGGAGAAACTTGCACAGGTACAGATATCTAATTATAACATATTTTTCTTCATGGTTTCTCTAAAGATATAAAAGGGTGTACTTTCCTCCTTGGCCGCCATTTAAAAAGAAAGTAATATCTAGACGGGGCTTTATCTTATTTTTTTTTACAATCAATTTACAAATAGTTATGAAAAGGTACCTTGTCTTCTGAATTTTGTTTTATTTTATTTTATCTGTGGAGAAAAATGTACTCACTTTTAAAATTTGACACAGAGTGTTCAGCAGGTCGGTATGGACGGAGCTGCTCTCTTACTTGTGGACAATGTCGGGACGGAACAACATGTGATAACATGAACGGGGCTTGTCCTAATGGATGTTCAGCTGGATGGATGGGAGGAAAATGTGATCAAAGTATGTCTACATTTCAAATTCTGTCAAAAATCGAACTAAGTTTGCAAATAATAAATTCTCCTTTCACAACTTACACCTTATGTGGCAATGTTCTTACTAGAATCTTTGTTACAGTACCAATCTTCTCTATCTGAGGTTGGTTTTTCAAAATGCCAGATCAATTAATAAACATTTTTGACATTTAAGTCACAGGAGAGGATAAAATTACATGTATATTATAGAAGCTTTATAATTACCTATATTTGTAATATTTCTGGAAACACAAACACTAGCAATTTATTTTACATCTCTGACAATGTACTTCATAAAAACACGTAAAATCTTTACAAATATAAATTTTTTTTCCAGAATGTGAGTTCGGATACTTTGGTCTTGGATGTAACAATTCATGTAGCATTGCAAACTGTAAAAACAGTTCCTCTTGTGATGCCATTAACGGAGCATGCGTGGTCGGCTGTATTGATGGTTGGACAGGAAGTACCTGCAATGGTAAAGTTCATTATTTTTTATAAGAACTAATAAAAATAACTTTTATTTCGGGTAGGGTAAATTTGTTTACGATGTTTTGTTTAATTTTTTCCGGGGGGGGGGGGGGGGGGGGTTGAATCCATAATGAAATTCATTACTTTAATAATTTCGTGCTGTGGCTGTCATATTTTGGGGAGGTGGTTATCATTTTTTTTACTCTAAAAACGTTTTTTTTATTTTTTCTGATTGACCACGAATGAGGAAAAACATTCAACATAGCCATTATTGATAGACAAACTTGAAAAAGAGACACGTTGTTTATATGTTGGGACAAACTCTGATTTATATTTTCGATTAATTTGAACTATTGTAACACGAAAAGGGTGAGAATGGGTAATCGTAATGTTTTTCTTTGATTCTAACTTTGATCTTTGATTCCGTTATTATGAGCTGAAATGTCACTTTTAGAATTTGTGTATACATATCCATATATCTAAAATAAGGTATTCAAAGATTTGTATCCTTTTGACAAAATCCCCATTTTAACCAATTACCATGTACATTAATTAAGAGACATTATTTCTTTATTTTTACAGAGAAACCCAATGGTAGGGTAGCATACATCATCGCCGGCTCAGTTTCATCGATCTTTATCATTATCTTGGTAGTTGTTATTTCTCTTTCATTAATCCTGAAAAAACCTTGCCATAAAAAAGCAGTAAACTACGAATAGTCGTTGAAGAACAGTATAAACAGAAATTATGATCACATTTCGAAAATTACGATAAATAAGAAAAGGGAGAATAACCAATCATATTATATGGATACCTCCATAGAAAATATTGTTTCAAGATCCGAGCATGTTTATGATGAACCCGATATATAGAATTTTTGTAAACTTTCTTGATATATGTATCCGATATATCGTAAACAATCCGAATGGTCATCTTTGGAAAATGATATCCTAATAAATTGTGGAGTGAAGTAATTATTCAAATGATGTATCACTTTGATTGACTCAACTTTGAATGATCAATGTTATGCTATTACAATTTATATCGTCATTAACATGAATACGACCCAATTACGCAATTTATTTCTCATATTGTTATAATAGCATTTCTAATTGTTTTCTTTGTAGTATCTCTTTGAAACTTGGGAGACTTGATTACTTGATAATTATGAGTTTAAATTCCGCCAGGTACATGTCAACGTTAGAATACTGATACTGATGCATTTTAATCTCTGACGTTAATGGGCAAGGATATATGAACTAAACAAGGGATACCTTGTGTGTTTTAAATCTATTGGACTTATCTTAATTTAGGTGAAATCACTCTCTAGCTTGTTGGATATTCCAAAAACCTCAGAGACAGTTATGCAAATATATTTCCTCAAGTTTTCAATTATCGTTGATGCCCTGACATACCCAACAAATTACGTGTACATATGTAGAGTGTGTTAATCCTTTTTTTTAAATGCTTATATCTTTATGTCAAATATGACATAGTCATTTAAATAATTGATATACCTGTATATCCAACATTTAAGAAAAAAAAATATTTTTTTTCTATTTCATTCTCATTTCCAGAACAAAAGACACTGCTTTCTATTTCTCTCTTAGAAATATGCAATTTTTTAAAGAATTTTTTTGATATTCAAATATTCTTTTCTTTATTGACAATTTCCTCGTAACCCATTGTGCATCATACTATTCAATATTGCATTTTATCACAGTTATTTACCTCAGCATCTGATAAAAATACAAACGAAATCTCCATTAAAAATTTTTTAATGGAAATAATTGCATGCTTTTCAAATATAAATTAATGGAAATATTCATTTGTACACCTAAAAAACTTGCATTGACTACATTTACCTAGGCAGTATTCAATTGTTTTCATCTTAAAGTGCAGATAGCAGTATTAAATGAAAA